GTGATTTGCCTTTGAAGCGTGAAAGATGGGTGACTCTGTCCCCAGAGCTGTTAGTGCATATTTTAGAGCACCGAGTGGGTAGGACAGTCGCAGCCAAGCAAGTAGGAGCTACCGCGCCTTATCCGTCCTTCCCTGCCCAGTTCCCCAACTCCAGCAGAGTTGGAGGGCACCGGGCAGACCTCCCCTTTGCACATCGCCACAGCGAGGGACTTACCTTCTGGGCTAAGTTAATCAGGAAAATGCCAAAGTGCCACCCAGTTTGTGGCCTTAACCTTATCCAAGCACATTTGCTTACGCCACCAAGTGGCAGAACGGCCTTGGCTGCCCAGCAAAACAGCCTGTGGCCCTCTGTGAAAATCACAGAGCCCAGATCCACTCCAGGCCTGCCAGCCAGGATCCCCAGGGGCGGGCCTGGACACCTAGAAAAACGGCGCAGGTGCAAATCGGACAGAGAGACACACAGGTGACACAGGCTACACGTCCGCCCTGAACTTTCCCACGAGGGGCACTTCCTTGGCAAAGCAAAGACGGAACAACAGGCTGCCTGGGAGCAAAGGGCAGGTCAAAAACAGCCTCTCCCTGTGATCCGACTGGTGGATCGGACCGGTGGATTCAACTCCTGGGCAATCACACCCGCTTTCCTGGCCCCATCCCCCCATTTCAGGTCCAAGGACACCGCCCAAGCATCACAAAGGAGAACACACGAGTGAGGGTGACTGTCAGGAGCTCTTTGTTTCCCACTAACCCTTCCCTGGGAGAGAGGAAGTGCCACCCCTCATCTGTCTGGGGAGACAGTGATCCCCATGTCTCCTCACGTCACTTTGCCAGCACCAGCTTCTCCATGATGACAAGATCCGTGTTGCCCATGAAACAAGATGCCAGCACTTTGTGAAACTGGCCAGCTGCAATCCTATCCTGGCCTCGTGGTCCCCTGGCCACGATATACACTAAGATAAAACGAGCCTACAAATAAAAGACGCACAGCAGCTGTCGCGAAGGGGAGGGGATTTTGTATGTGAACAGCTATTCAAGCAACGTTTAGAAAAGCACGGGTACAGGTGCTCTGTACCGAGGTGTACCAACCTCCTCCCCCCACCGCTTCCTGGGCGCCCCGAGATGGGCAGGCGGCTGCTTCAAGTTGAACAAGGGCTGAGCAACCTAACCTACCATTTGGTTGCACTTTTAGGAAGGGCAACACGGAACACTTACATGTCTGTGGCCCCATGAACGGCCTGCAGAGTGCCTTTGTACGAATGAACCACTTTTTTTTTTAAGAGTATACTACTCCCCATTGTGGAGTGCAACATAAAAGGCTAGGAAACGCTAACCAATCCACTGGGAGAGAAGGCAGGTGAGTGGCTCCCTGGGAATGGAGAAAGACGAGGGTAGGGAGACTTAAAGAGAGATTTAAATTTAGATAGAGAAGAATCCATGTTCTGGCTTTCAGAAGAACAATTTTTTTTTTTTTTTTGAGACACATTCTCACTCTGTCACCCTGGGTAGAGTGCACTGGTGTCATCAAAGCTCACTGCAAACTCAAACCCCTAGGCTCAAGCAATCCTTCTGCGTCAGCCTCCTAAGTAGCTGAGACTATAGGTGCACGCCATAACACCCAGCTAATTTTCCTATTTTAGTAGAAATGGGGTCTGTTGCTCAGGGCTCAGGCTGGTCTCGAACTCCTGAGCTCAAGTGATCCTCCCACCTCGGCTTCCCAAAGTGCTAGGATTACAGGCATGAGCTACCACACCCGGCCAAAATAATAATTTTAAAAGCACTTTTCGGTGTGTCTGCAATAAGGAAAATTATACAAAGTTAGCTGGGGTTTTAGGAGTCCTGACTATGTCCACATTTGGTCACAGAAGTCTCCTGTGTTGATTATTGTGGTGTAAGAGCAGAGAAAAAATAGTTTGTGGGTTTCTTTCCCTCACACAGTTCTTAAAAGCGTGTTTGAAAATAAAAGTTTTTCGCTGGGTGTGGCGTCTCACGCCTGTAATCCTAGCACTCTGGGAGGCTGAGGTGGGCGGATCACTTGAGGTCAGGAGTTTGAGACCAGCCTGAGCAAGACAGAGACCAGGTCTCCACTAAAAATAGAAAAATTAGCTGGGCATGTTGGCATGCACCTGTAATCCCAGCTACTCGGGAGGCGGAGGCAGGAGGATCGCTTGAGCCCAGGAGTTTGAGGTTGCTGTGAGCTAGGCTGACACCACGGCACTCTAGCCTGGGCAACAAAGCCAGACTCTGTCTCAAAAAAAAAGAAAAAGAAAAGAGAAAAGAAAAGTGTTTAAATAAACTGCTTTGTTTCTTTTTATATCTAGTTATGCATATTACTTAAAATATTAAATTCTATCGAAATCACTCTTCTGTGTACCCTTCATTTAAAGGAAACCACGAACACGGTTGCTTTATTCGGGACACGAAATGAAGATTCCACACAGTGGCTCCCATCAATAACCCACAGCAGACGTCTAATCCTCCTTCCCAAGAGTCTGTAAGTACCCTCTCAGCTAAGTCAGCTAGCAGGTGCCCCAAGGCCTCTTCTCTTTCCTCCTACCAACCAGTTCTCATGTGGCATGGAGGCTTTCCTTTGAACAGATTTCAGATTATCTATGTCCTTAAATATGTACTTCTAGTTCAAGAAAGAACTATATCCTCAGCCACAAAAAACAATGGTGATCTAGCACCTCTTATATTATCCTGGATGGAGCTGGAGCCCATCCTACTAAGCGAAATATCCCAAGAATGGAAAAACAAGCACCACATGTACTCACCATCAAATTGGTTTTAATTGATCAACATCTAAGTGCACATATAGTAATAACATTCATCAGGTGTTGGGAAGGTGGGAGGGGGGAGGAGGGGATGGGTATATTCACACCTAATGGGTGCAGTGCGCACTGTCTGGGGGATGGACACACTTGTAGCTCTGACTCAGGTGGGGCAAAGGCAATATATGTAACCTAAACATTTGTACTCCCATAATATGCTGAAATTTAAAAAATTAAACAAAGAGAAAGATTGTTCCTATTGAAATAG